TAAGTTCCCAACCACAGCATGTGTACACCAACCAACCTCCTAGTATAACGCAGCCTCCTAGTATAACGCAGTACTTCCTCTTGTCGTGACACAATTCGGTACCCACCAAAATTCTAGGACAAAGAACNCCCCGGGGACCTTCTATCCTTCAGCAATAGACCCAATGGATGTCCGTAAATACGACAGGGAGTACAAACCGAGCCAGTTTAGCAAAGGGTTCCGACCTGAGTTATCTGGGTGGTCGAACCCAACGAGACGGTCCCGCCCACTGAACCCCCCTCACGAGTCCCGCTTGTTGCGTCCTGTTGGGTGCTGGGGGCCGGCCTGCTAACGCTGAGCTCGTCGTCTGAGTCGCGGAATAGGGGTATCGCGTCAGGTGTGTGTGTCGCCATGCTACCCTCTGTCTCCCCTATATCAAAAACCCCGTTGCCGGCCCGTCATTGAGCTGTTACGTCTCGACGCACCAACCCCCCTCCTAGCTCAATACGGGACCGCTGAAATCCCGAGGAAGTGCTCCAGACCTTCGCGGGTCTCTGGGTCAATGTAGATCCTGGGGCGCTTGTACGTACTCTTTTCCTCTACCGGCTCCTCCGGCTCGTCGCCCACCTTCTCTAAGTACTCCCTCGTCAACGTTTCTAGCTCGGGATCCTCGCTTTTCTTAAACTTTCGGACTTTTTCCTTGTGTACCTTGAACGTTGAGCCTGGCTGTCCGTATCGCTCTACCTCTACCTGTGTCCGCTCGACCCCCACGATCTTCATCGGGAGCGACCAACGTGGCGCGAACCATCTGGGCGTCTCTGGGCCATTGAGCGACGAGGCCGCGGAGCCTGGGTCATTGAGAACTACCACTAGGTCTCCTTGTTTGAGGTCGTTTGGACTATCTTTTTCCAGGGGGCGCTCCCTGAGCATTACCTCCGTCATTCGCTCTCGGAGCCGCATGTTGTGATTCTCTCTGCGCTCCTCCTCCGTCATTGACGGCGTCATCTCTTGCAGGGCGTCGAGCACTGGGGGTTTACCGAACAACGCCTCGTACGGTGAGGTACCTATCGCTGAGTGCGGCGTGATGTTGTGGAGGCGGGTGGCTGAGTCCAGCATCTTGCCTACATCTCTCTGCCCTTCTTGCCACATTGCGCGCAGCACATTCTTCAGCTCGACGTGCGAGGCCTCATTGATGCCGTTCCCCTGGGGACGGTACGGGGCGGTTACTAGATGTCGGCAACCTAGATGTTTGGTCACGGTTGTGTGGAACGCGCCCTTGAAGCTGGAGCCGCCGTCGGTGAGCACCGCTCTCGGCGTTCCAAACGCCACTACCCAGTAGTGGTAGAATGTGCGGAGGGTCTGAGCTGCCTCGAGGCTCGGGACTGCCCTCGCTAGCATGTACCGTGTTGCGTGAT